AGATAGATAGATAGATAGATAGATAGATAGATAGATAGATAGATAGATAGATAGATAGATAGGTAGATAGATGACCTATTTCTAATCTCCCATTCATCTCAAAAATTCTTGAGAAAGTTGCAAATCAACTATGTGAACATCTGGACAGAAATAATCTATATGAGGAGTTTCAGTCAGGGTTTAGAGCTCATCATAGCACAGAAACAGCACTGGTTAAAGTTACTAATGATATTCTCCTGGCCTCAGACAGTGGACTTGTGTCCATTCTTGTCCTGTTAGATCTCTGCTGCATTTGACACAATTCATCACATTTTATTACGTAGACTTGAACTTGACATTGGAATTACAGGAACAGCTCTGAAATGGTTTGAGTCTTATTTAACTGATAGATTTCAGTTTGTTAATACTGAATCTTCTTCTTACACCAGAGTTAGTCATGGAGTCCCTCAGGGTTCAGTACTTGGACCAGTCCTCTTTAGATTTTCCTCTCCACCTTTTGCTCAGGATGTGAGACTGTGATGAAGTGATTCAACACAATCTGTTCTTTTTTTCATGTACAGTGTCCTGAGACAACGTATGTTGTGACTTGGAGCTATATAAATCAACTGAATTGTTTCAGCAACTGGATAGTTCAACAATAAAAGTTCTTATCTTAGTATTGTGAAGTAATGAAAGTGAAAAAAAATCCTCAATGTACCCTCATGGGCTCCATGAAGAAGAACATGTTGAAGTTGAACTTTTTAAATAAAATAAACATTTATGAATCAGAAATTTCTGAAAAATCTGTTAATTATTTTTGTTGGACAAACAGCTGCAGTGAACTGACCTCAGGACCTCCAGTCCACATTCTGAACTCTTCAGGAAACCACAGAGCTCCTTCACGCCAGAGTCTGACAGGTCATTCCAGCTCAGGTCCAGTTCTTTCAGACGGGAGGGGTTGGACTTCAGAGCAGAGGCCAGAGAAAAACAGCTTTCCTCTGACATACGGCAACTCCACAATCTGAATAAAAAGGTAAATAATGAATGATCAAATAATCACATCAAATCAAATGTATGTGTTGGCAGATATTGAAACAATCGTTGACAAATGGACTACTGATAAAAATAATACTGAACACAAATTATCCTAAAAACAAAAAAGATAAAAAATACTTTAAATGATGCAAAATATCTCAGCTTCCATTCAGTATTAAAAACAAGTCCAAAAAATGTGCTATACATGTTTAGATGAAACATAAACTGCAACAATTGAAGTCTTTGCTATAAAGCAGCAGCTGGTTCCACAGTTTGAGGAAAAACTGAAAATACTTGATCCTCTCTGTGGACGAGCCTGGACATCAGGACAACTAAAGACCTGATCACCTCATTCAAACTGAAATCTGAACTAAATGATTAAACTGGACAGAATTAATTTTACTGGATGTCAGAGAGACAAAAACTGAACTAATTTAATGCGTTGAAGGAATGCATATCACCTACTCATTTACACAAAGATCATTTTATGATCAGAGATCCTCTCCTGCTCTGTGACATTTTTACTGGCACTCCCCTCCCTCTGGTTCCAATTTCGTGGCGCCGCCATGTTTTCGACTCTTTACATTCCCTTTCTCATCCGGGCATTAGAGCCTCTTTGAAACTGGTCAGTTCAATGTTCGTTTGACCTGGTCTGCATAAGACAGTTAAGGAGTGGGCAGCAGCGTGTGTCCCATGCCACCAACAGGCACACTAAAGCACCGTTGGAACCTTTCTCCATTCCTAGTTGGCAGTTTGATCATGTGCACATAGACCTGGTGGGTCCTCAACCTCCATCACAGGGTTTTACACATCTGCTGACTATGATCGACCATAATACCCGGTGGCCTGTGGTGGTTCCTCTGGCATCCACAACATCTGCAGTTGTGGCCCGGGCATTTATGTCTACGTGGGTTGCGCATTTTGGCCCCCCCTTCAGACATTAAATCTGACAGAGGTCTTCGGTTTGTTTCAGAGCTTTGGTCTACCATGGCCAAGGGTCTGGGGACTCAGAACCACCGAAACACCGCTTACAACCCCAAAGCTAATGAGTTGTGTGAACGGTTTCACAGGTCATTGAAAGCTGCACTTTGTGCTGCATTAACCGTTGACAACTGGATTGACCGTCTTCCGTGGGTCTTGCTGGGGTTACATACTGCAACCAAAGAGGATCTTGGCACTACCCCAGCTGAGCTGGTTTTTGGTCAGCTGTGCACGTCCCCGGTGAGTTTTTACCTAAGGTACCCTCACTACAGTTCGCTTCACCGTTGCAACATTTTTCACCTCAGGGGGACTCTTTTCATGTCCCTGGCCCAGTACATCAGTGTTTACCACAGTCATTTGTCCCTAAGAGCCTAGAGACCTCTAAATTTGTTTTTATCAGACACAATGCCCACAGGACACCACTACTGCCCTTGTATGATGGCCCATTTAGGGTTCTCCAACCAGGTCCCAAACCCTCCCTTTTAGATTTAGGAGGTCGTAATAAGACAGTCTGTATTGATAGGCTTAAACCTGCTCATGTTCTGGCAGATGATCAGGTTGTTACGGCCCAGGCTACTCGCAGGGGCAGACCTCCCTCAGCATTGCTAATGGACTGCTGTCCTCCTTCCAGAGACTCTCAACAACCAACGAAGCGGAACTCTTCTGAAGCCCCTCCTTGTTGCCCTTAACTTCATTGGACTGGTTCTTGAGTCCAGGTTCAGCCGTTCGGGTCGTTTGCTCAAACCTAAAGCTCTGGACTAGTAATGGACCTTACTGGGTGTTTGGGGGATGGACTGCTAGGGGACTCTACTCACACCCAGAATACAGGATGTTGTGATTTAAAAATGTTTTTGAATAAGTGTATTGTTTTGAGTGCTCACGTCCAGAGTGAGTTGGAGTTGTGTAAAGCGAGTTTCTGCATCGAGTTTCTGTGTCTTCTTTTCTACTCCTCCACAACGTAGCCTATATTTTTTGCAGAGAACATGCCGCAAATTGTAACATTATGTTTATATTGATTTAGGAAAGCAATGTCCGCCCTACTAATTTGTATGCTCACGAGCCGCTACTGGTAATCGTAGATCACAGAAAGACCAAATAACCGAACAAAACAACACAAGTTGTTTTTCAGCTTACCCGGTCAGACAACAACAGTGTTTGTGTCCTAAGTGTTGAAATTATATCGTCTTTTAGTGATAATTTTGTTATTAGTCCACTGTTAAATTCCATTTTGTTCAGAAAGCTATCATCCGTAAAGTGGCTTGCACAAATATATAAATAAATGTTTTCTTTTCATTGGAGGATTACTTCCAAATATGAAATCAAACCATTTTTAGGAAAAGGACAAAAAGGACTGAGAAATAGTATTACGAGCTCAGCAGACATGGTTTCACAAGTTGTTTGCTAGTTGTTGCTGCTGCCTGCAGGAGTCGTTGGGGAGTTGTGCTCTGTGATGAGGAAGCTGGGCTTGGAGACAATGCCCAGAGGAGGAGCTGCACCTAAAAGGCAGTTCTAGGGCCAACCAGCCATTTTTGTTCTTCTGAATGACTGCCTCAGGACATTACAGGATTTGTCAAACATGCATGAATGAGTCAAAGCAAGACTCTGGGCATGTTTTTGATGAGGGGATAACGTTCTAACCTGATATATAGCTCAAAAAAGTTGATTTTACATGATAGTGCCCCTTAAAAATACGCGAGATTATGGTAGTTTAAAATAAATAAATTGTAAATAAAAGTACATAATTGTAGTTAGACAAACAGAAAACACAATAGCTGCAGTGAACTGACCTCAGAGCCTCCAGTCTACAGTTTGTACTCTCCAGTCCCAAACACAAATGCTTCACCGCAGAATCAGACAGGTGGTACAGACTTGGGTCATTGCGGTTGTGACCCAGGTTCAGTTGTGTAAGATGGGAGGGGTTGGACTTCAGAGCTGAGGCCACAGCTTCATAGTGAATCTCCAAGAGTCCAGCTCCAACAGCTCTGTGATGATAGAAAAAGTTAGTTGTAAAAAAATGTTAGCTAATCTTTCTGATAAACAGATGGAAATTGTCTGATGATATATTTTTGTTCATCTGCATGGGCAACATGGGCCAATGGTTCAGAGTCATGGAGTCAACCAAGTCCATCTTGGCTGTAACACACTAGACCAGCTTTTTATCCTCTCTAGGATCCTTGAGAGGTCATGGTAGTTTGCCCATCCAGTCTACATGTGTATTGAAGAGCTGTAGAAGGCATTATTCTTGTTTCCTGAGGTACACTGGGGGGGCTGTTCAATAAGTTTGAGACTAGGTGTACATTGATACAGCCAATTATTTGGGGCGAGTGGGGATCATTGTATTTGTTTAAAATAGTTTCCATCCATCCATCCATCCATCCATTTTCTGTACACGCTTCTTCCTTTTCAGGGTTGCGTGGTTCACTGGTGCCCATATCCAGCAGTCACAGTGCGAGGGGCAGGGTACACCCTGGACAGGTCGCAAGTCCATCACAGGGCCACACATAGAGACAAACGAGACAAACAATCATTCACTCTCTCACTCACACCTAGGGACAATTTAGAGTTATCAATTAACCTAACAGTCATGTTTTTGGTCTGTGGGAGGAAGCCGGAGTACCCGGAGAGAACCCACACATGCACGGAGAGAACATGCAAACTCTACCCAGAAAGGTCCCCAGACCGGGATTTGAACCGGTGACCTTCTTGCTGAGAGGCATCAGCTCTACCAACTGAGCCATAAAATAGTTTCCAAACAATATTATTGTTTATTGCAATCATTTTGAAGAATTTATTGTCCAGCAAAATGTTGTTTTGATAGACCATCTTAACTGCAGCCCAGACCCCACTTACTCCCACAGCACCCACTACAGAATGCCTTGAGGAACACGGTCATAAGCCTTCTCCAGGTCCACAATCATGTAGACCGGAGAAGCAAACTCGTGACCCTCTTAGGGTAAAGATTTAGTTCACTGTTCCACGACCCGGGTGAAGCCACTCTGCTCCTCTTGAATTTGAGGTGAGGTTTAACATCGATTAGAGCCTTCCTTCCAACACCCTGGAGTAAACTTTCCAAGGGAGAGTGAGAAGTGTGATCTCATGATAATTACATCACACTTTCCAGTCCCCCCCTTTTTTAAAATGGAAACCACCACAGCTACTGCTACTCCACAGGAGTTGTCCCAGTCCTCCATGCAATTTTGAAGAGACAGGTCAACCATGACAGCTTCACAATATTCAGAACCTTTCAGCATCTTGGAACGAATCTCATCCACCCCTGGAGTCCTGCCACTGAGGACCTTTTGACTACCTCAGTGACCATCTGCCAAGGTAATGAACTTGTCTTTCCCGAGTTTTCAGACTCTGCCTCTTCAAAGTTAGATATGGAGTGTGGATTAAGGAGATCCTTGAAGTGTTCTTTATGATGCACAACAATATACTCAGTCCAGGTCAGCAATTCTATACCCAAACCAAGTACAGCCTGGTACAGGGAACGCTTTCCTGTTCTGAGTAGCTGAATGGTTTGCCAGAACATCCTCAAGGCCAACCAAAAGTTCTTCTCCATGGCGCCCCAAATTCCTCCCATGCCTGAGTTTTTGCATCTGACTGCAACCACCAAAGCTGATGTCTTTCTGGCCACCCTGTACCTGTTAGCTGCCTTGGGAATCCTCTAGGAAAATATATCTTAAGGGTCTCTTTCTTCCTGACAACCTCCATCACTGGTGTCTACCTGTGAGTCCTTTGGTTGCCACTGCAACAGTTACCAATGACCTTCAGCAGACAGATCCTGGAAGATGCAGGGTGCCCCTGAACAAATGTGTCATGTTCAGCTGGCCCTGAACATGGTCCATTTGAATTACATGTCCCCGACCTCACCCAGGACATGTAAAAAAGCTCTCCCAGAGGTGAGAGTTTAAGATAGCATTGACAGGGGTCTCCACTAGACTTTGCAAGTTCACCATCACTATGTGTTTGGGTTTGCCAGGTCTGTCCAGCAGCCTCCCCCTCCACCTGATCCAACTCATCACCAGGTAGTAATCAGTTGACAGCTCTGCCCTTTTCTTCACCTGAGTGTCCAAGACATAGGGCAGCAGCTAAGATGATATGATTACAAAATCGATCAACAACCTTTGGCCTTAGGTGGCCTGGTCCCATGTACACTTATGGACCACCCTATGCTTAAACATGGTGTTCATTATGGACAACCCATGCTTAGCACAGAAGTCCAATAACAGAACACCATTTGGGTTTATATCAAAGACGCTGTTCCTCCCAATCACACCCTTCCAGATAACTCTGTCATTGCCCACATTGACAGTGAAGTTACCCAGTAGAACAAGAGAATCCCTAGAAGGCACCCCTTCCAGGACCCCATCTAAGGACTCCAGAAAGGCTGGGTAATCTGAACTGATGTTTGGTGCATAAGCACAAACAAGTATCTCTAACTTGAATCAAACACAATAGCTTCATGGTTCTAATAACTAGTAATGATAATTAAGACACCTGTTCTCCACTGACGGATGATGTAATACACAGAACCATACTTACCGAAACTGTCTGCAGTTTCTCACAGCTGGAATTAGTCTCCATCGTCCCGACACTGATGTGTTGTACTTCATCAAGTCCATCTCATCCAGAACATCCTCTGACATCTGCAGCATGTAGGCCAGAGCTGAACACTGGATCTCTGAGAGTCTCTTCTCTGATCTATTCGCTGGATTCAGGAACTCTTGGATCTCCTGATAAACTGAGAGGTCCTTCATCTCCAGCAGACACTGGAAGACGTTGATGCTTCTGTCTGGAGACACTTTATAACTGTTCATCTCCTTCAGGTTGTTGATGATCTGGATGGTTCCTGGACTGATCTCTGTCTGACCCAGAAGACACCACAAGACTCTCTGGTTGGACTCCACACAGAGGCCATGAAGGAAGCGAACAAACAGGTCCAGGTGGCCATTTTTACTTTGGAGGGATTTCTTCATGACTCTGATCAAGAAGTCATCCAGAGATGAGGAACTGTACTCCTCTCCCAGAAACCTCTTCATCACCTTCATGTTCCTGTTGGTGAAACAGTGGAACATGTAGACTGCAGCCAGAAACTCCTGAACACTCAGATGAACAAAGCAGTAGACTGGTTTCTGGAAGATCACACACTCTCTTTTGAAGATCTCTGTACAAACTCCTGAGTACACCGAGGCCTCTGTGACATCAAGACCACACTGCTCCAGGTCTTCTTGGTAGAACATGATGTTTCCTTTCACCAGATGTTCAAAGGCCAGCCTCCCCAGCTTCAAAAGAACTTCCCTGTTAGTCTCCGTCAGCTTCTGAGGACTGGTCAAAGGTCCCTTATGGTACTTGTTCTTCTTCCTGGTGGTCTGAACCAGCAGAAAGTGTGAGTACATGTCAGTCATGGTCTTGGGCAGCTCTCCCCTCTGCTCTGTGGTCAACATGTGGTCTAGAACTGTAGCAGTGATCCAGCAGAAGACTGGGAYTGCACACATGATGTGGAGGCTCCTGGAGGTCTTGATGTGGGAGATGATTCTGYTGGACAGATCTTCATGACTGAACCTCCTCCTAAAGTATTCGTCCTTCTTGGCATCAGTGAAGCCTCGTACTTCTGTTAGCCTGTCCACACATGAAGGAGGGATCTGATTGGCCGCTGCAGGTCTGGAAGTGATCCAGACCAGAGCTGAGGGAAGCAGGTCCCCCTTGATGAGGTTTGTCAGCAGCACGTTGAGCGATGCCTCCTGTGTGACGTCAGAAAGCAGCTGACTGTTGGTGAAATCCAGCTGAAGTCTGCTTTCATCCAGGCCGTCAAAGATGAAGAGAAGTTTACAGACAGACAGCTTCTCTGCTGGGAGCTTCTGGAGTGTTGGATGRAAAACATGGAGCAGCCTGAGAAGACTGTACTGCTCATCTCTGATCAGGTTCAGCTCCCTGAACGAAAGCAGAACCACCACACTGACATCTTGGTTCTCCAAGCCGTCGGCCCAGTCCAGAATGAACCTCAGCACTGAGAAGGTTTTTCCAACTCCAGCCACGCCATTGGTCAGAACCACTCTGATGGCTCCATGTTGGTCAGGTAAGGCTTTAAAGATGTCCTGACACCTGATTGGAGTCTCATGGAGGATCTGGGTCTTGGAAGCGGTCTCCAGCTGCCTGACCTCATGTTGGGTATTAACCTCTTCACTCTGTCCCTCTGTGATGTAGAGCTCAGTGTAGATCCTGTTGAGGAGGGTTCTACTTCCTGTTTCATCACTTCCTTCAGTCACATGTTCACATCTCCTCCTCAGACTGATCTGATGTTCATCTAAAACCTCCTGCAGACCAACATCTGAGGAAAAATGTGACAGAGCAGATGTGAATGCTGCAGTAGAAACTCCAACATTTTGATTGGAGCTTAAATCTGAAGGATGTTTCTAATGATCTGAACTCTTCAACAATGTGTCTGTATTAAAACAACAGGTGGACAGAAATGTCTTACCTTGGACACAGCTGCTCTGACTGCCTGTCTGCAGTCCACTTCTGCTTCTGGATCTTTTTCGACACTGGGGACAGGAGGAGGGTCCTGATGAAGCAGACTGGTCCCAGTATGAGGTGATGCAGGGTCTGCAGAACCAGTGTCCACAGGTGGTAGAGACTGGATCCTTTGGGATGTCCTGACACAAAGAACAGCAGGACAGCTGCTCCTCACAAACACCACTCCTCTTCCTCACTCTGAAGACATTTACTGATGAAGAACTGCAAGAATGGGAAGTTTTGAGGTCATTTCTAAAATCTTTGATTGTTTCATCACTCTGAGTCCAGGTTGATGAGAAAACTTGCTAAAATCCATCCACTAGAAAACCCTGAACTATGAGACCAGTACCAGAACCTCACTGACTTTCAGGCTGTATTCATTCTGTCTGTGGAGAACTTCAATCAGTAGCTTTAAATCATGTCAGAATGACTGACAGTATTTTTGTTTTGTGACAGTGTTTTGCTGGTCATAAAATTAGAATAATTAGAATATCATGAAAAGTTTGATTTATTTAAGTAATTCCATTTAAAAAAGGGGAACTTATGTATTATATTCATTCATTACACACAGACTGATATATTTCACATTCAGTGTCTAAGAAAATTATGTTACCTAAGACCAATACAAAAAAGTGCTTTTAGAAATGTTGGTCAATTTAAAAGTAGGAGCATGTACAGCACTCGATACTTAGTCGGGGCTTCTTTAGCCTGGATTACTGCAGCACTGCAGCATGGAGTCGATCAGTCTGTGGCACTGCTCAGGTGTTCTGAGAGCCCAGGTTGCTCTGATAGTGGGCTTCAGCTCTTCTGAATTGTTGGATCTAGCATATCACATCTTCCTCTTCATAAGGTCAGGAAAGTTTGTTGGCCAATTAAGAACAGGGATACCATGGTCCTTAAAACAGGTACTGGTAGCTTTGGCACTATTTGCAGGAGCCAAGTCCTGTTGGCAAATGAAACTTGAATCTCCATAAAGTTGTTCAGCAGCAGGAAGCAGGAAGTGCTCTAAAACTTCCTGGTAGACGGCTGCATTGACCTTGGACATCAGAAAACACAGTGGACCAACACCAGCAGATGACATGGACTCAAACTATCACTAGTTGCGTTTCCATTGCAAATGTGCGCAAAACTTTGTCGATATTCTGTTAATGTCGAAAAACACAGTTTCGCAACTGCGGTGTTTCCATTAAGTAAGAAATACTATTAAAGTCACGCGTGAATACGTTTTTTTTCTCGCGATAAGTCATTCCAAACATGACAGCGATGGATGTAAACACATAGCATGTTGCTACCACGACACTAGCGCTCATCATCAGAGGAGACGTCGGCGTCTTTTATCGAGGCTTTCCAGAGACAAGTCCCTACTTGGGAGCGGCTACGTATGCTGTGTTTTTGGGAAATTGTAGTCGGTGAGTTTACTATTTTATACTACTTCTGTGATATTACTACTACTTCTACTTCCTGTTATCTTCTTCGTCATCGTCTTTTTCACCAGTAGAAACAGCCGGTTGTTGATCACGTGACTCCCGTGATGTGAAATAAGTGTTTCCATTGCATTTTTTGCGAAAAACACCAATTTTGATACGGCCGAAATACCACCTCATCCTAGCGCAAAAACATTTTGTCGAAAAATGTAATTTTTTTGTCTAAATTGACGTGTTTCCATTGAGCAAATTTATTTTCAAAATTCTAATTTGTGCATTTTCATGGTCAGTGGAAATGCAGCTATTGACAGTGGAAACTTTACACTGGACCTCAAGCAATGTAGATTCTGTACCTCTCCTCTCTTTCTCCAAACTCCGGGACCTTGATTTCCAAAGGAAATGCAAAATTTACTTTCATCAGAGTACATAACTTTGAACCACTCAGCAGCAGTTCTGTCCTTTTTTTTTCTTTAGCCCAGGCCAGACTTCTCACACTCTCTTTCTCAAGAGTGGTTTGAAACAAGGAATGCTGAAACCCATGTCACACTGGGTCGCAGATCGTTGAGCGACTTTGTAGTCGTGTCGTCTGTTCTGTGGCTGTATTGTTATATGTCTTGAACACGGGTGGAGAGAGGAGCTGAGCTGTCAGGTGATCACCATCTTTTAGTGAATTGGATCAAATAGTGGGGTAAGATGGTGGACAGACCTGGTAGACCCAAACATCTTTTGAGGGTTTGTTGGGAATGCCTGGTAGAAGAATCTGTCAGAAAGATCTTTAACTCACGCTTCCAGGAGAACTTCAACAATCACATCCCGGCCAAGGCGGGGGGACATAGAATCAACAAGTCCAAACAAACTTGTTTAGTATTTCTGGTATATCAGTGCTGATGTAATAGGTTCTGCCCCCAGGGGTATGACCAGGGTGTTCTTTAATATATCTTCGGTTACGAGGTACACGTAAGAATTAGCAAAACTAGCAGCAGCAGAAAGAAGCCATTGTTTTGTTTGTTGCTGATAAGGCTCAGAGTCACATACCGACAGTAGCTCTGAGTAAAGGTTTTTTAGAACTGAAGAATAAACCTTTTTAATTGAGAACAAAACTTGGTTTTCTGTGCAATTATTTGGGCTTTCAATATTTGAACAGTTTCTTATGGCCCACAATTTTGGATGGATGGATGGATGAACATGAGAACATCAGCTGCTGTAGATTTGTCAGCTGAATAATTACTGTGACTCCTCTGTTTCTCTGCTGCCTAAAGGTGCTGTAGTTACATTTTGCTCTAATAAAAAATGGCTTGATGTCAACATCTATCCACCAGTTCTTATTCAGAAATCAAAGTTGAAAACCTGTTTAGTTGTTCTGTTGAGTCATGACTCAGCAACAGTTTTCTTACTTTGTGCCTGAAGGTCCAGGTTCAGCACTGAAGCCTGGAGGATCATGTTTGGACCAGTCACTTTTCAAAGACACACAGCTGGATGAGCCTGGATCCTCTTTCTCTTTACAACTGTCCATCTTCTGGTCTTCAGTCAGTCTGAGAGAAACCAGTGCAACAAATAAGAAATGACATGATGATCACCCACTTTTCATGGTAGTAAACAGCATACATATGCTGTAGTACAAGATCCATCACCAGTGGATCTTGGGTGGTGACATAAACTGTGTAATGGATCAGACCCTAATCCAGCTCTAAATCTGCATCAAAGGTGACTCACACCCTGGCTACGTTTATGAAGACGGTGGATTATGTAGACCCTTGGGAGTTTTCTGTTTCCAGGTAGTAGGGAGTTCTCATTCTTTTCACATGTTCATCAGCCAAATTCAAGGACTGATTGTTTTTCCATAGATAGATAATAACCCACTTTAAATGGTTAACCATTTGCTGAATCTAGAAGCCTTGCCACAGACCCTTACAGAAGCTAACATCATACTCTTGCTAAAACATGGTAATAATCCAACTGATTGTGCCTCCCACTGGCCCATATCTCTTCAAAATGGAGATGTTAAAATATTTATCTAAGCTTCAAGGTATTAGACTAGATACTGTCATGGCAGACATACAGTATTTTCCTCAGACCAGACTGGTTTCATTAAGGGTCGCCACTCTTTATCTAAACAGGCTTCTCAGTGTTGTTCATTCTTTCTCATCCCTGAAAATCCCTGAGATGGTGATCTGCCTTGATGTGGAGAAAGCATTCAACTGGATTGATAGTCCATGTTTATTTGCAGTATTGGATAAATGTGGATTTGGGTCTAAACTTACATCATGGAAACAACTGTTGTATAAAGTACATCTGTAGAGCCTCCCTGCTGTGAAATGATCATTTCGGATCAGATTCTTAATCGTCTCCACAGCAACGCTCAGAGAGGAGAAACCCCACTCTGTTGAACTTTGACTGCCACAGGCAATGTGTGTGCTTATCAGAGGACTCTAGAAGAAACCCAGACTTTGTGATGACGTCCAAGCAAGAAATCTGACAGAACTGTCACCTCCTTATTCTAATTAGTTCCTGCTCTGTCTCCAAACCCCCACCAGACTCTCTTCTAGCTTGACTGATCAAAGGACTACATTCTTCATTAAATATGAAAAAAGGGAAAAGAAAAGAAACACTGGGCCTCATGCAAGAACATGTTCGTATTCTTATCCTAAATTTCTCTTACTTTTGTTCGTACAAAGGGTTCATACGAACATGTCACTTCAGATTCAACAAACTCTTCTATCTTCAGGAAAAGTGTGTAAATGAGCTGCGTAAATTACACCTGTTCTATCCAGCTGCTCGTGCACGCGAGAGGAGATTAGCATAATTACCACCCCAAAAACACCATATAAGGCTATGTTTCCTGCCTCAGATATCAGGAAGTGTCCATTCATGAAAATGACAGTGAAAACTAAAAAGAAGAACTTTACGAGTTCAGAGATTGATGTCCGTCTGTCAGAGATCCAGAAAAGAAAATCTGTCATTTTTAGCAGGTCAGCTGTGGAATAAAAAGAGCTGCTAAAAGTATAAACAACTGTGTTAAATCATTTTCATTTATTCAGAAGCTGCAGTGCTGTGCACCGTACCCCCCACCCCCACCCCCGCACGGTCGCAGGTGGTCTCAGATGCGGGTTTGAAATAAGCATTTTAAAATGTTTTCAAAATAAGTCTGGCACTTTGGAGAAAATCCACGACTCACTGGAGGGATTATGTATCCCCTCTGGTCTGGGAACGTCTCGGAGTCCCCCAGGACGAGCTGGAAAGTGTCGCTGGGGAGAGCGGGGTCTCTCTGCTGCTGCCCCCGCACCTGATAGCGGGTAAGCCATCCAGACGGACAATTTATATTGTTAGTCTAAATTATCACATTTAAAATTATAACTCTAATTCAAGCAGAATAGCCTATTGTCAACATAATTATGGAGTGTGATTTATTTTCAACTCAAAATATCTTCAAACTAATGAAATATAAAGTTATTAGTGAAGAAAACCCGTCTGGATAACAGCAGACTGACTGCTSGTAAAATATACGACAGGTCTGGACCACTCVTGAATTTTGTTCGTATCTGAAAAAAATCTTAGAATATGAAAACATTGGTGAATGCCACAAATTCTCCTAAATCACTCGTATGCACAATTTAAGAACAAATCTGTGCGTACGAAAGGTTCTTGCATGAGGCCCATTGTTTTCTGTATACTTGTCTGTTTTCATATGTTATTGCAAAGAAATGTCATTTAACCCATTTTCTTACAAAAAGAACAAAAACCAT